GGGGGGGGGGGGGGGGGGGGGGGGGGGGGGGGGGGGGGGGGGGGGGGGGGGGGGGGGGGGGGGGGGGGGGGGGGGGGAGCGAAGGGGAAGGAGTGCAACAAAGTCCCGCCCGGCGGCTAACGCTCCTCCGTTTCCACTTGCACTTTTGTTGCACGACGCGCGGCGATGAGGAGAACGAGGGAAAGGACGAACATCTCTTTTTCCCTCTTTTTTCTCTCTTTTTCTATCTCCCTATATCAGGCAGCTCGGCAGCTGCAGGATTTTTATCGATAATTACAATGCGCGCGAAAGCCTCGCGGTTCAATCGCGGAAGCTAATTTCCAAGTAGATGCGATGAAATTCTTCGACCGAACAATTCGACTCAAGTGTAGAATGGAAGAAAGAGAGAAGGTGTCCTTTCTTTTCATTTGATAAGACTAGAAATTTTTCCCTTCTTGCGATCGTAAAAGCGTACTAATGTCGCACAACGCTCTGTACCGCGAGCTGTGTATCGCGCGTGGAATTATTTCTATTGTGCAAGACGGATATCTCATTCTATTTCTCTGGAAACCGCAGAGAGCAATTTTGCAAGAACATCGACGTTAAAGGCGAAACGATCGGACTTCCCTTTACTGCTGCGAATGCACGCGACTCATTAGGTGCGACCGCAATGGTTATTATGCCGAACGGCGGACAGTCTTGATGACTTTTTGAACGCAAACCCGCACAAAGATCCCAGCTGACGATCGCAATGAAATAAAATGAAAGAAAAGAAAGAAAGAAAACGGAAGTCACGGTTGCGGCGAGATCCACAAGACTCACCAGCTCCTCGCGCGCGACCTTTCATGAGCTACTCGTGGTGGATTTACGAGCGCGGTCATTCGTTCGCCGTGGCGAATCGATGAGAACGTGCACCGCAACGGCGAAGACGACGACGACGACGACGATGCCGTCGACGACGATGATGGAAACACAACCTCACTGTTCGAGGTCTCGCAAAGTGAGTCTTGTATGCCGCGCCGGTGGGTGGGGAAGGACAAGAGATCTCGAACGAAGGAACGAATGTGTGTGTGTGTGTGTGTGTGAGTATATGAGAG